TCAAGTGGTATAGTTGTAAATATTTCTTGTATATATTCTTTTTATTTTATTTATCATTTTTAGGCCAGCAGTACTTCCATTAGTACTGTAGAGAGATTGTGCAATAGAGTTTTGGGAAGGCTCCTAGCTGTGTGCGAAGATGGAGGCCTTGGAATTTGAGAACCCTTAGCTGTGTGCGAAGATAGGGAGATTTATATATTGGACTTTTTATTTATTTTATCTATATATTTATTGGACACATCCCGAGCTGTATTTGAATTTACATGCTCGCAATATGATGATGTGATTTAAACTTTCAGGAGGGGGCAGCATTGCCCTGAGGTTTATCAATGTCACATCATTGTCAAGGAGATGGGATGGCTAAGGCTGGTGTTGGCATTTGGCTATTGGGCTGATAAGAATGGATTAAATGGTTATCAGTTTGTCACAAGACTTTGGAAAATGCCAATGCTGGCCAAAGTTTCTCACATTTGTCCAAAACCTTCCAACATTGGGGTACTTCACCCATGGAAAAATTTTTTCATGGTTATGAAGGTGTGTGAAAGCACCCAACCACATGTTTGAAAGAGGAAACTTGTTAAATTAAATCTGACACCTGTAATCAATACCATCAGATTTATTATTCATGGTTTTTTAAGGAACTATATAATTGGAATTAAGAAAATACTTTTCTTCCTGATCTTTCTTATTCATTTATTTTTTGTGAATCCCAGAGATCTGGGTAGACATGCATTATTAAAAGTTTCATTTTTGCATGGCCTTGGTATTATTACTACTTGGGTGATGCAATTATTTGTTATGTCAATGATGATATCAAACATGGTGATGAATGTGGGTACAAAGGAATTCACACATGAGGAAAGTATTAAATAGCAATATCATGTTTATTTATTTATTTTTTACTTTAACCAAGGTAAATAATTATATAATTAGATTGTAAAAATACAAGTAAAAAATTGCAAGAGTGATTGCATGGAATCCAAGACTGGACCAATCACACCATTACATGAAGGCCAATCAAGCAATTATTTGAATACATTGGTACACTTTTGTAATCTTATTGAAGGGGATAGGTTTGTATTAAGGTTTCTGGTCCAAACTGTTTTCTCAAAGTCTATACTAGTTTGGGCAATTTGGGCTTCTCAACATTTTTTATAAGCATGAACATTAAAAAACTATATGAATCAACTTGTTTTAACTTAAACAACTTTAAAATAATTTCGCCCAATTTCGGCTAGTAACAAAAAGTAGTTTGTGCTTATAAAAAAGTAATTATTGCCCATAGTATTTGGGCAATTTTGGCTACTAATAGAAGAAGTTTCGGCCAGAAACCTTAGTTTGTATGCAATTTAAATTCTTTTGTGTTAATTTAGAGTCACATCTTTCTTTTGCCATTGTAGGTAGCATTTTACAAATCAAGTTATTTACCTTAATGTAATAATCATTATATCAAATTAATTTGTAACTTAGGTTTTCAAAAATTGATATAATTTTTCTACAATAATAGTATTTTCTATGTTTATGATCAACAATGTGTGGAAAAATTAACTTTGTTATTGATAAAGTAAAATATTACAAATATTCATTTATTGTTTGCTTTTTAAGTTGTCTTTTCCCATTTTGATTATTGATGATGATAAGCCAATTTAAATCTAGGCCATAATTATTTTTCATGGAGCCAATTGACCAAAATTTTCAATTTCTCTTCACTAGTTACATCACAATCTTATCTTTTAAACCATTACCTAAAACCATTCCATTGATTCACCTAAGTTTAATTCCATTCATATACTTCCTTTCAATTTTAAAACAATTATAAAAACCACAAAGTGAACATAAAATTATATATATAGGGATGTATATATATGAAAAGTAATAAATATAATGATTCTAATGAATATCAAAAAACCATTGATTTTTTAGAAAAAGGTTGTGGTTGTGGTTGTTCTTCCAGAATTCCCAAGGAGCAATTTGCAGAATTAAGGGAATCCTTTCAAGCTCTTTCTAAAGTAGAACAAGACATATTTCTAATGGCCCAACTTAAAGCAATGGATGGTGGATCAATAAGCACTAGCAGACACCTTAAAAAGAAAACCAGATCTAATAAAAGAACTTTTTATCATTGGGATCATAATACACTTCTTTGTCAAGAAACTTATCTCAATATGTTGGGAATTGGTAGAACTTACTTTGAAAATGTTAGAAAACATCTGATAAACAATGGTCTTTTAGCAAGGGTTCCTGGCAATGTAAAGAGGATGCCTCAATGGAAAACTAAAATGGTGATTGACAAAGACATTGCCACTGTTGTAAAGAACTTTCTGGAAAATTATGCTGAAGTTCATGGCTTACCAAGCCCAGGAAGAAATATCAATAGAATAACTCAATCAATTATATTCTTACCAGCTGAAATGAGTTATAAATCAGTGCACAGAGATTTTTTGGCTGGTCTAGAAGAAGATAGCAAATTGAAATCCTTAAAATATGATGCTTTTAGGAAGTTATGACATCAATTGACACCAGAGATTCAAATTATGAGTCCCAGGACTGATTTGTGTGATACTTGTCAATATTTTAGAGATGGTTTACATTATAATGCTCGCCAAGAGGAAGAAACTAAAGAATTACTCGAAAGATTTAAAGAACATCTGTCTAAAGCAAAAGTAGAAAGAAATTATTATAATAAAAATACAAAATTAGCAGAAGAACAAAGAAAATTAGTTAATCAACATTATTCAGAGGGTAAAACACAACTGCACATTACAGTTATGATTGAGCCCAAAATGTTCATGTGCCACATTTAGATCAACAAGTAAGTAAAATCTTATTACCTTAGTCCATGTAAAGTTCATTTATTTGGTATTCAAGATGAAGCAGTAAGAGAACAAATCAATTATGTTCTTGATGAAAATGAAATTATAGGAAAAGGTCCTAATGGAACTCTTAGCATGATTTTTGATGGAATTAAAAAATTGAATAAAGGTGAAAAGCATTTAAAGATTACTTGTGATAATGCTAGAGGACAAAATAAAGATAATGTAACAATTTGGTTTTACTTGTATTTAATAATTTGTGGTTATTATGAAAGTGTTGAATTAAATTTCATGATTCCTGGGCACACCAAATTCAAATGTGATGGTAGTTTTGGATTGATTAAAAAACTTTATAGAAAAACAAGAGTAGATTGTGTAGATCATCTGGTTGATGTGGTGAAAAGATCTAGTCCAGCAGGATTGAATAAAGCACAATGTTATGAAGATGGAAAAGGTTTTCAATACTTAGATATTAAAGTAATTTTGGGAATTTATTTTAAGAAATTACCAAGTATACAGAAATACCAACATTTTCTTTTTGAAGCATCTAATCTTGGTACAGTAAAAGTTCAAGAAGTTGCTAATGGACCTTTTGTTGAGTTAAATTTATTGAAAACCAAGAAAGCAGATATCTTTGAAGAAATTAGAGCTTTATCTATTTTAGTGATAACAACACCTCCTTTGGATTACAAAAGGCAAGAATATCTTTACCAGAATATTCATCTATTTGTTAGAGATGAATTCAAAGATATTACTTGCCCAAACCAATCTATACTGGCAATGAATAAATATTTAGGATAAAATCACCTCTAATGACTTCATCACTTGTTAATTTATCATCACTGTCATTAAGTTTAATAAGTTTAATCTTTGTTAGCTTTTCCCACCTTTAAAGTAAAAAAGTACTAAAATAATTTATATACTTAATATGCCCTTATGAAAAGGATATAAGTATATTAAAAGAATAAAAAAAAGCTAAACCATGGTAAACATCATAGAAACACAACAAAAAGCAGATAAAGAATTGCTAAACAAAATTGAAGATTTAGAAAAGCAACTAATTGAAAAAGAAGAAAACCTTAAACTAACAATTTGAAATGCAGTTGACAATGCTGTTAAAGAATATAATGTTTTAACTTTAAAAACCTTACAAAGATTTACTTGACCTGAAAATGGTCGAGTAAATTATCCAGAAAGGAATTTAACTGAATTTGGAAAAGTAGTTTTCAATGATGAATTCACTCCTGAGAATGTTATTGAAAGTTTTGCTAATAAAGCATGATATCATGAGCATTTTTTTGAACTTTATTTTAAAAAAGGAATTAGAAGAAAAGAATGCTATTTTAGAAAAAGAAAATGCTGAGTTAGAGAAAACTAATCAAGAGTTAAAAGAAAAACAAGAGGAATTGGAAGCAAGAGTAGAAGAATTAGATGATGAAGTGTGAATGGAGTGAGAAGAGGCTGAAAAAGCACTAAATAAAGCTATGGAATGGAGAAAATGACAAATATTTGAAACTGTGTTGAAGCATGATGCTGCAATGGGCAAACTTCAAGACCGAATAAATTTATTGGAAAATAATTTGTTGGCTAAAGATCAAAAAATAAATTGAAGAGATTATTTAGAAAGCAAAGAATTACCAGCTTTACCAAAACAACAAAAAGAAAACAGATTACACAGGCTCAAAAAATTAGTAATCAGAGTAAAAGAAAAGATTAAGAAGTTCCAAACTTTCATTGTTCAGAAAAGTGAGTAATTTAATATGAGATTAGAATATAGAGTTCTAGAAATAACCCAGGGAGATGAGCAAGAGTGTATCTTCTGTTTTCTAGATTTTGATGGCCCAACTCTCCTTAATTTTGATACTGCTCCTGCTACTCATCAAATGGTGGCTCATAATACTCCTGATGGTTATTCTG